CATGGCCGGCCAGGCAGCCACCTCCACGGCACACCGAGGGTCTCACCAGCTCCGTGTTGAGGCCAGGGACTGATTTGCTCCTGTCCCCCAAAGAGCCACCTTCCTCCATGAAGTCCTCTGGGCGCAGGTCGATCACCGACTTGGTGTAGTCTGCACGAGAGATGGTGAGGCAACGGCACGGTGCTGGTCTAGCAAAGCCCTGCTGGTCCCTCAAGCAAGGGGCTGCTCCAGCCTCTCCCATCCGCAGCGATAGCCCGCCGCAGCCCCGGCCTCCCCCCCCCTGCCATGTCAGCAGCCAAACCCCCCTGCACCCACACAGTTCTCACCCGCAGGCCTCAACACCCGCCGGGGATTCTTCTTGAATATCGTTTCATGCTCATCCACCGAGGTGCTGCTGCGAGTCCCCACGGCGGCATCCTAGGGGGGGAAAGGTCCCTTCAGAGCAGGACAGGGCTGGACACCCCAGGACAGGGCTGAGCCTGCCGGAGCAGCGACACACACCCGTCCATCGGAGAATGCATTTTTGGAGCGGATAGGGAGGGTCAGGCTGGAGGCAGCAGGTCCTGCTGGTGCAGCAACCTGTTTTCCATCTCTGAGAGGGGCGGCTCTCTCCAGGGAGTTACTCCTGCGGAGGACACAGAAAGGTCTGGCCCAGGCCAAGAGCCCGGCTGGGAGAGCAAGCGCTGGCTGGGAAGCGCTGTCTCCCCACAAGCTCCCCGGAGCCCTCCAGCCTAGGGAGCAGAGGACCTGCCTGCCCAGGGACAGGTTTCAGGCCAGCCAGAGGAGCCAGCTCCCCCTCACTATACCGAGAAAAAAACACTTCAGATGAAGGTCCTCCTCCTCTGCCAGGCCACTCTTGCCAAGGACAACCCACCCAGGGAGCCTCTCACCTGCCCCCCACGCCACTGGGACTAGGTCTGTAGCCATCCAGGCTCATGTTTTCCATGGACTCTGTGTCGCTTTTGCCATCCCGAGGGTCTGAGGCATCCGGAAACAAACTGCAGACAAACAAAACCACAGGTATGTCCTGTTTGGCGAGGAGGTCGGTCTGAGAGAGAACTGCCGCGCCACCAATGATGGGAGCAGGGCAGCAGCGTCCCTCCAGTCCCCACAGCAGATGAGGGCTGGTGTCCGGAGCCGGGGACACTGCAGGGATCCTCACCTGGGCCCCTCCCGGGGTGCCTGGGGGCTCTGCTGCCAGGCTGCAGAGGAGCTTTTAGGCTCGCTGAGCTGGGCTTTCTGGAGGAGGGTTTGTCCCACGGTCTCTCTTTTGCTGGCTGGAAGGAGAGGGGCATCAG